TTACCCTACGAAAAGAAAAGTATGAGGTCTAATGGGGTTATTTAGTAATGACGTGTCCACATCTGCAAGGGATTTGTTGCCTTTCCAATTAGATTACATTTGGTTCCTTCCAGAGAGATGGCGGACACCTGGTCCCCCACCACCCAACGTATTTTACTTTTGTAGCATTTCCCCGGGCAGGTAGAGTATTGCGTTTTTTCCCTCTCCTGTAATTAATTTCACAATCTTCGGTATGGTAGAAATTCATGGAATTCAAGAACAAGGCTTATCATGGTAGGAAAAAAACAAGAACTCCCAAAAAATATCAAGTTCAAAAATCTGAGACTGGAACAGGCTACTGTTGTAGCTTGCAAAGGGGTGCGTACAGAGGAGTTTCCCTGGGAGTTAGTGCTGAGAACATATGTTCAATGTTAAGCATGTGCTTAAGTCCACCCCTGTTCAGCAAAGTACTTAAGCATGGGTCTTAGTTATATAATGGTGCCTTAAAAAAGTGTTCTAATAAGTAGTATATATAATCTGAAGAAGTGAAAGATAAATGAACTTTATATTTACGCTGAGAAGTTGGAAAGATTCTAACAAGTTGTGTGCCGGCCCACTGTATATTGGGAAGACTCCGTCTCTTAGGAAGGAACTTTTCATTGCATGAGGAGCATTGGGGTAGGATAACTGATCATTTTCTCCTTCAGGTGAAACACATATGCAGTCTAAAGTGAAACCCAAAATATGAGCGATAGATATATTGCTTATAGATTTGCAAGAGAAGATGCAGAAACGGGCATGAAAACATTTTGAGTGGGAAAGGGGGTCAGACAAATGAGATAAGAACATCTTCATTCTCAAACTACTCTGTGAATCTCTGGCTCCTATTAGTTTTCCTTAGAAATCTCCCTGCACTGAGATACCACAGTGAAGGGCTCGTTTTGATTTAGAGGAGAGTAAATCAGGGATTCACAAACATTTTGGTAGCGTGAAACACATTTTCTTGTGACTCCCACATTGTCCATGAGGCAACTACAGTAACTGCATACATGGAAAAGTAATATTAGGAAAATATGCCTGTATTGGTACATGCCTTTTAAGGCAATTGAGCAGCTGGAAGCAAGAAGGAGAAGCCAGCACCATGTGAACAGCTAGTTCTCCACAGACAACCAGAAATTGTTCCACCGACTAGGCCACAGTCTGGGAGCCTCTGACAGAGAGAGAGGTGGGGGGGAAGAGAGAGAGAGATGTTATCAGAATTGGACAGGTATTGAAATAAATAATTAATCTTGCATTTATCATTATTATTACTTACGTAGCTCCAATAGTGGGTGTGATGCTTCATGGATAATTCAGAAGACATGGTCCCTGCATCTAAATAGACCATGTATGGCTAATGGCTGGTGGATGAGAAGTGAAGGAAAAACAAGTGCTGAGCAGTGAAGTTTAGCAGGGTCTTGTTTCATATTTTCTGTTGGAATCACAGAGTGCAAGACCAGAATGAGTCATGTGAGGGGGTATACCTGCCCTGCATTGGGCAAGAAGAGGTTAACCCTACGCTGTGGGCTGAGGAAGCCAGGCCCCCTCTCCCCTGCTGGGCATGCTCCAACTGGAACCACATTATAAAAGGGAGCAGCCCAGCTCAGTCTGCTCTGACCGCTGAGAAGACAATGTGTGTTGCAGGGGTTCCTGTCCAGGAGCTGTCGGAGTCCCAGACTGCAGAGGCCAGGCATGCCAAGACCCAGGAGAATACCTGGCTAGCCATGGAAGCCCAAGAGAAGGAGTCGTAAGGAGCTGCGCCGGCCAAGTACCCCAGAGAACCAGAGGGCCTGCAGACTCTGGAGCAGACATTGATCCGGTTGTGGAACCGGGAACGCAGTCAGTGTGTTTTGGACAGATCCCTGCTGACCCAGTGGCGGATACTCTCGCTGCTGATAGGGCCCTTGTGGAGTAGGGAGGGCCAGGGTCCACCTGCCCAAGCTGCCAACCCAACCATGGGTGGTGGCCCACCCCGCTTTTTGGCCATTAGGCTGCGCTGCCCTGCACCAAAGCATGGGCCCGCTGAATCTTGCCATTAGGCCCTACCACCCTGCACAGGAAGCCAGCCCTCTCAACTCTGGCCACTAGGCCACACTGCCCTGCATGGAAAGGCACCCCAATTAACTTGACTGTGGGGCCATAACTTCCCCCAAAGGGGTGACGGGGTATACCTGCCTAGCAACAGGCCACCGGATCATGACCTCCTGTATAGCACAGGCCACTAAACCCCACCTAGCCACCCCCACACCAAGCCAACAACCAGAATTAGACCTAAGTATTACAGCCCTCGGGAGACTAAACTATTGTGTGCTACAGGCAGAATACAGGAGGGATCGAAGTACATCAATGTCCAAGGCCCTTGCAGTGGTTCAGTAGGGTTCTTCTACTACTATATCTTGTATCTGTCTGGCTAACACTACTTTGAGGGGAGGCCTAGGGGTGGTAGGCCTCTTGGAAGAAACATGTTTTAAGGAAGGACTTTAAGAAGGAGAGTGTCAGTGGGCATGACACACTGGGCCAGGGAGGGGTTCCAGGCTGAGGGAGCCACATGGGAAATGGCACAAGACTGGAAGAAGGACATGAAAGCAGGAGGTTAGACATGTAGCTTGGACAAAACAAACTGGACCCTGGAGTGAGTGACCAGAGATGAAAGCACAGAGTCAGGCAGAAGTTAGACAATGCAGAGCTGACTTTATAATGTCCCTGTCCCCCTGGAGGATCCCAAAGACCTTTAACAAACTGTGGGCAAAATCTTGTCAGTTCTGTCCAGTGGATCTCCACTGCTGTGTCCTGCTCTGTTTAAATGAATGGATCTCTAACCCAGTCACTGGGGAATCTGAGCACAGAGAGTAGAACAGAGGAGCCAAGATTTGTTGCATGGATCTGCGAGCAGGATTTAACCCTGTTTATGGAGGAAGCATTTCATCCTCCTTAAAATGCTTCCACTTTTGCATTGGAATATCGCTGCTCTTTAACAGTGCAACAAACACTACACAACAGCTGACGACAAGAAATGGAGAATGCCATGTCTTTTTGAAACAGATGGGCAGGCTTCAGGCTTGTGTGTAGTGTAGGAGAGAACCACAAGACATGATGAACCCAAGACTATTATTTTAGAACTTGTGCTAATCTGCCTTCAGATTTGCAGGGCATGGCCAAGTGGTAATACCAAGACTGTTTGAACGAGAGTGATTTGACTATATATATATGTACTATAGATATACATACACAAATTATTTTAACTGTTTCATTGGAACACACACAACAAATTTCTGCCTCACAAGAGGTGGAGACTTTAAAATCTGCCTAAAAATGAGATCCAAACAAAGTCTCCCTCATATGCTGGAGACTTGGCCGGTCTGTCAGTACAATTTGCAAATGCAGAGCATCTGCAGACCACATAAAGTGGGAAAGTCACAGAGGGGCATTTACAGATTTTGCTATAGCTCCTTTTACTTAGGCTTTTAAAAATGCAGTTTCTTTCCCTCCTGGCTGTAAGGAGATTGGATTCTGAAAATTAATGCACTGCTGTTGCATTTGGTTAGTAGCCAGCCAGCCAAACAATAAGGCCTGCAGGCATGTGAACATCTCACATGCATCGCAATGAAGAATGCACTTCAAAAACTAGTTCTGGTCACAAAGCTATACACACATTGTTTCCTTAACAAATGTGTAAGAGAATTATTTAGTGTGCCAGGGAAAAAAATGCTGGATTAACAACCATGGAGACTGAAGTCCTCTGTTTCACCTCAGAGCAGGCAGGAGCAATGCAAACTTGCCTTCTAATATCCTGCTAATAAACTTTCTCCTTGTTTTAGAAGGACCACATCTAGGGCAGCAGAGGAGCTCAGTACCCATGGCCCAGTTAGTCCTTAGCCTCCCTGATGAGACTGCCAACAAGGAGACCAACAAATGCCAACTGTGATGATCTTTTCTGAGATGCAGACATCTCTTCACCAGGCCTTGGACTATGATCACTAATTCATTTCCACAGAGGCCCCCAAACAGCCTATGTACTACAAAAAAATTGGAGAATGATTTGTGTGAGGTGACTAGAGGTGAAAAGTTCCCTACTCTGTTCCCAGATCCCCTGAGCCATGCACCCCCCAGGTGATACTGCTTGGCCAGAACAGAAATATACGTGCTTCACCTCGGTACACAGAGCTAACTTCTTCTCAATGCATAAGACAACAGGGCCCAATGGTCAGTTATGCTACATTGGGAGGACAACAATTCTGAACACTTTGCAGCAAGAACTGAGCAGATTTGGGCTGTAGTAAATCTTGTGGAACTCACCTACAGGAGTATGGGCATCTCCGGCTGTAGCGGCAGCAGTAAAATTGCCACTCCCGATCGAGCACAGATGGAAAATACTGGCTCTGGAACCCTGCCACCAGTCCATTATTTGAACAGGTCTGATACCTGAGAAAAGGGAGGGAAAAACAAAACACATTATTAAGTAATATTTTAAAGAAGCAGCAGCACTTATATAGCAATTTACATCTTCAAAGCACTGGGCAAGGAAATGATACAGTGTTGCCAACCCCAAATATTCAAAAAATCATGAATCAGGCAAAGATTGGCTTTAAAATGTTAAATTAATGCTTCTTTTTCTTTTCCTTCTGGTATTTGAGCATTTAGGGCTCACGGGGGTCACATTTTCAAGCTTTTCTCTGCAATCCTGTGGGCTAGAAACTGATTTGATGAAAATGAAAGTTGAGTTTCTCATGTAATCACCTGAATCCAGGAGCTGGGGCTTTAATAAAAACATCAAATATTATGCAATAAAGTCCCAAGAGTTGGTAACAGCATTACAATATTATTTTGTACGTGGGGAAACAGACATTCTCTGGGGGGGAGATTAAAGGACTTTGCCAAGGTTTGAATTTGGATTTGCAAAATGAAACACTTGCTAAATTTACTGAACCACTAGGCTAAAAGTTATGAGGGAGGTCCTCCACCAACAACCTTTTTCCTTGTAGGGCAGACGATGCCTGAAAAGCCGATGGTATGATACTACCACAATGTTCCCTCTTCAGAGCTTTGCTAATGAAACATCAAGCACAATGTTTTCCCAGGGGAAAAAAAAGACTGTCCTAGGTAATTTTGTTTTCCTGTAAAACTCTTTCCTGCAGTGGCACTGCACAAAGATCTATTATTTTTAATATTCCATGCAAAATTTCCTTCAAGTGGAACAGCAGGACAAAAGTGCATGCCCGCTGGTTTTGCTGATAGTGTCCTTGTTTTACAGTATGCCATTACCTGAGTGATACAGCCCAACATCATCCTTTATCAGCCCATTAAGTACAAGAAGGGAAGGGTAAGTGCTTGAGGCAAAGCTGAAAGCAGTTAAAGCACTTCAGCTCAGGCCAAGGGAGGCCCTCACAATGTCCAGCTCCACTGAGGTCATGCAACTTCCTGTCATCTGCTTCTGCCAGGGCTGCAGGAAACTCCACCATCCATTTCCTCCAGGGCCTTGGGATCCTGTCACCCACTTCCTCGTGGCCATAGGCAACCCTGCTGTCCAATTTGGCTTGTGCCACTAGCAACCCTGTTTCCCTCACATGAGTCCCTGCAGTGACCCATTCCTCTCCCACACAACCTCTCTGTCCTTGCGGGAGGCTAGCTCCTCTTCCCCATGGCTTCACTCCTTGTTGAGGTTGACTGGTGAGGACTATACACAAACCTAAGCAGCCCTGCTTCCGTTTCCATCTATGCAAATAGTCCTACTGGATTCAATACACTAGATCTGTGTAAAAATGCACCCTGCTGTCCCTTTAAAATAAACCTACAACTGCGAGGAAAACAGCTTGTTTATGGCAGCTAGCACGAATGGGAACACGTGGCAAGGGCAGTCTAAAAAGCAGGCAGCCTGATTCCCGGGTTTGTGTAATGCTTTCCCAGTGTTGGTCATAGAATCTGCACAAAAACAGTCCACAAATGTACTGGGCCGTGTTGCCAACATGTGAACAGGCAACTCCCACACACATTTTCTTCCTTAGCCCATGATGTAATCTGTGTCCCAGGGAGGGAGGGGTGTGTGTGTGTGTGTGTGTGTGTGTGTGTGTGTGTGTGAGAGAGAGAGAGAGAGAGAGAGAGAGAGAGAGAGAG